TGAAAATTGCATGCAATTACCTATAAGGTTAGATAAATATGAAGAATTAAGAAAATTAGAAAATAATTTTTTAAAGATCATTAAGCTAGAAATTTTAGAGAGACTGAAAATTCTAGAAAATGGTGTTCAAAGACAGACTATTAGAAATAATAAACGAAGAACAAAGAATAACTATTACAATGATATTCATTCATCACTTGTAACTAGAGAAAAAGAGTTAGCTAAAGTTATATCAAACTTAGAAAAACTCTGTATATAAATAAATAATATACAATGCCTGCTATTTCGTGGGAATATATTTTAGAATCAACTATTCAAAAGTTGAAAATTAAGTATCGAACTTTGATTCGAACTTGCGATAAAAATCTGATTGCTTCGAATATTGAAAGAATGGCTTATAGCCTTCGACTCGTCCGAAACGAAAATCCATTACAACCCCAGAATTTGAGGTTTGTCAAAAATGGATTTATCTTGGCAGAGTCTCATCTTTCTCATGAGTATTCCTCATAAATCACAGTTTCAAATAAAATAAAAAGAGAGTACAATTTCTTTTAAAGATTGTTTTAATTTTTAAAGATGAAAGAAGAGTTTGACATTATTAACGAAAGATTAAATGCTAGTTCCATAAGTTTAGATACTTATGGTAATATAAGAAAAAATGAAATAGATTTATTTGAAAAAAAAGCTAGAGAAGATCTTTTACAAAATCTAGAATACCTTATATATGGAATTACACTCAAGAAAAATTATAATAAAAGGTATTCTACAAGAGATAATTACTATGGAGATTGTTTTCCAGAAATAGAAGGACAAGTTAATTATCTGAAAAGTATAAAGAAAAAATTAAAAAAACTAAGATTTAATATCTAGGAATCACCACAAAATTGGTTATAAACCTAAACTGAAAACGAAAGTGAAAATGAACGAAAGTAAAAATAAAATGATGAGTGAAAACGAAAGTGAAAATGAACGAAAGTAAAAATGGTATCAGAGCTTGGTATCAGGCGAAAGTACTAAAATATTAGATTAATGGATAGAGAAGATAATCTTTTAGATTACTACACAAAGCATGAAAAATCAGGCTACTTAATTGAAGCCCTGATAGATGCTAATAAATTAGGAATAGCAGATCATGACTTAAAAAAGAACCATAACTTCAGAAATGAAGGATTGATAAAGAAATTAAATAACTTAATTTCTAGGAAAAATGAAATATTCTTTGGAATCATTTCGGGAGAAGAAGCAATAGATACAGATCAAACAGAAGGAAATGTAGTTATTCCTGTTATCTGTAAAGAACAAATTCTTTCTACATTGAAAGATATAAAAACAGAAACTAGAAATAAAATCTCTTACTTACATGTTTCTACTATACAAATGATTCTTAAATCAACTTATAGTTTAGGAATAGATTCTCCCATTACAATAAAATTAATTGATAATATAATGATTAATTATTCTGATGCTCTAATAGCAGAAGGGAGTGGAAATTTAAAATTTGGTAAAATTAAGTTTAACTTAAACTACCAAGTTGGGATGTCCTTATTAGACAATAATTTAGATGATTCCATCACTTTGTGTTGGAACATGAAAAGAAAAATAATGAAAACTGGAAATCATCCATTTTCAGTAACATAAAGAATAAACTATGCATTGACTAACAGTCATCACTCATCACAGTTTGTCATTCAAGCCTCATGATAAAATTGAAATAGATGAATTGTTTTCACCTATATTACAACTAGAAGCACCTAGAAGGTCCTTTCAAGTACATAGAACTTCATCTTTTGTTAGACCTAAAATAGAATATGGTATTCCTAAACAGAATAATGAAGATAACGAAGCAAGTTCTTCGAAAACAGATACTTATACTGAAGTAATCATAAAACCAAATAACAATATATATAAAATTGAACAAAAGGTTCAAGAGATAAGTAAAGAATTAGGACTAAAAATATGACAAGTTCTAAT